CATGCAAACAGAGCACAAGAAGCAGATCTATTAACATTTCATCTTTCCAAAAGCTTGGGAAGGCCTCAAAACAGACTTACGCAACGCAGTGTTTAAACTACCTGCAATTATCTGGGAGAGTCATCCAGTGATGAGCACAGAGCCGGCGGTGGGGATGGCTGCGTTCCATTATTGCCAGCTCTGTCACTGACCCTGTGACCTTGAGCAAGCTGGTTAACCTCACTTCAGTTTGCTGATCTACGAGGGCACATACTCTGCAAAGCACTGAAGTGGGTGGACAGTGACATCAGAACTGGCAGAACCACTCTGAGACTTCTCAAACCCTCTGCTACTGCACAGAGTGATGAGAGCGTCACTGAACTGTCCTCAGGATGCTGGAAATCAGAAGACTCTCAGAGGAGGTCACTTATTAGAACCAACAGCACAACTTGCTTGATCCACACCATTCATCATAGAATCACAGAATGGTCTGTGTTGAAAAGGACCACAATAATCATCTAGTTCCAACTCCCTGCTGTGTGCAGGGTTGCCAACCAGCAGACCAGGCTGCCCAGAGCCACATCCAGCCTTGCCCTGAATGCCTCCAGGGATGGGGCATCCACAGCCTCCTTGGACAACCTGTTCCAGTGCACCACCACCCTCTGAGTGAAAAACTTCCTCCTAATATCTAACCTAAACATCCTCATCTCAGTTTAAAACCATTCTCCCTTGTCCTATCACTATTCAGCCTCATAAACAGCCATTCTCCCCCCTGTAAAATGCTCCCTTCAAGTTCTGGAAGGCCACAATGAGGTCTCCCCAAAGCCTTCTTTTCTCCAAGCTAAACAAGCCCAGTTCCGTCGACCTTTCCTCACAGGAGAGCTGCTCCAGCCCCTGATCATCTTAGTGCCCTCCTCTGGACCCGCTCCAAGAGCTCCACGTCCTTCCTGTGCTGGGAGCCCCGTGTCTGGATGCAGCACTGCAGATGGGGCCTCACAAGAGCTGAATAGAAGGGGACAATCACCCCCCTCTTCCTGCTGGCCCACTCCTTTTTTAACGCAGCCCAGAACACAGCCCAGTTATTTTTCCTTGACTTTTTCAGACGCCGACAAGGTGACAACAGCAGCTTTGTTCGAACACACCTGAGGGGCGTGCAGCAGCAGTGGAATCCCACACGTGGAATCCCAGCCGGGCTCAGCTGCTGCTCCCTCCACAGGGCGCTATGGGGGCACAAGGGCGCTGTGCCCCGGCCCTCGCACTCACACGGCGCTACACGGCCTTTCATCCCCAGGTTCAGCTGCACAGATCAAATGTCAGGACGGCACCGATTCGCCGCGGGAAACGCTCTTCCTTGAGAGAAACACGGGAAAGAAGCCGCTCTAATTGGGCTCTTAAGACGCACCTACTGAAGGCAGAGAAACAGGAGCGACGGCACACGCTCCACGTATCCCCTTTGTTATTCGGGAGCGGAGATCGAGGCGGCGGCGGGGCTCCGACAGCCCGGCCCCGCTCCGCCCGGCACAGCGCGCCGTCCCCGCCGCCCCTCACAGCCCGTCCTGGCCCGGCCCGCTGCCCGCGCTGGGCATTGAGGCCTGGCAGCGAGGCCTCGCCGGGTCCGGCGGCGCTCCGTGCCGGTAAGGGAAGCGGGCAGGAGGCGGCGTTCCTGTCCCGCCCCGGCGGCGTCGCGCGGCGCCCCCCTCCCCGCACTCACCGCTCGGGGCCGCTGGCTGCGGGCTCGCCCGGCGCCCCCTTTGTGCGGCGCCCCCCCGCCTGCTCCCGTCACTGCGGGTAGCGTCGTCGCTATGGCTGCCGGGATGGCGGCGGGCTCCCTCTTGCCTCCAGCCATCGCGAGACGTCAGCGAGCCCCGCCCCCGCCGCCTCGCTCCCGCCTCCCGCCGCCATGTCGGCCGGTCCGTCGGCGGGGAGCGGTCGTTGTGGGCCGTTCTGCGGGCGCTTTCGGGGTGTTTTTCCTTCCCCCCGGCTGGCCAGTGCCCTTAGGCCGTCGTCCAGCAGAACGCCTGAAGCGACGCGTGGATCCTGTGAGCTGCTCTGCAGTTGCGTTTGTTCCGTGTTCCTCTTATTTACTTAGCGGCCTCATTTTTGTTAAGCTGTTTGTGGACTTCGGCTCCTTTTGCGCACTGTCCGTTATCGCCTTTGTTTTTATTCTGCCTTGGGCTTCTTAGCACTGCATGGTGCGAAAAATCCAGCCCCACAGTCAGTGTGCGAGGCCACTAGCAGCTGTAAGATGGACACTGCGGCGCTTTTATTACGGGCCAGGTGAATAATTAAGATTCATAATTAAGCCTTCCAAGCCAGTAGGGCTGCAAAATCTTTTACCCATTAGCAGAGTGAAACGATTTGCAATTCTGCATGAAACAAACAGCAGCCATTGGCATTTCGTGTCATGAAGCAATGCAGGACGGAAAGCAACGTATTTTGTCTGTTAAAAGTCGTGAAAGGCGGAGTAAAAGAAAACTATTCCTTTTGCTGCTCAGCCAAGATGTGTTAATGCTCATCTTTTACCAAATCCTTCTTCAGGTCTCATCGTTGCTTGTAGTTCATTAGGAAGTTTTATAGCCACAAATTACTTAAGACTACAGTTGAAATATATGTAGGAATTATAATCCTGTCGATTTCTGGAAGTCTGTGCAGTGAAAACTAGTTTATTTTGTGTCTGAACAACTTTCAGCTAGAAGTAGTATTTCTAAATGCTTACAAATAAGCTGGAATCACTGTTTTCAGACTGATTGACAGACTTTGGTCTTCTCTGAGAGCTCGTTTTGGATCCACTAAGATGATCAGGGGGCTGCAGCACCTCCCCTATGAATACAGGCTGAGGGAGCTGGGCTTGTTCAGCCTGGAGGAAAGAATGCTGTGGAGTGACCTGATTGCAGCCCTTCAGTACCTAAAGGGAGCCTATAAACAGCAGGGGAATGAACTCTTTGAAAGGAAATGGTTTTAAGTTGAGGGGGGGAAGGTTTAGATTGGATGTCAGGGGAAGTTCTTCAGTATGAGAGTGGTGAGGTGCTGGAACAGCTGCGCAGAGAGGCTGTGGATGCCCCATTCCTGGAGGTGTTCAAGGCCAGGTTGGATGAGGCCCTGAGCAGCCTGGGCTGGTATTAAATGTGGAGGTTGGTGGCCCTGCGTGTGGCAGTGGGGTTGGACCTCGAGGTCCCTTCCCACCCTGGCCATTCTGTGATTCTGTGAGTTTCCAGCACTCAACTTTAAACAGTAAAAACAACTGTCTCACTTCCAATGGTGTTTACACTTACTGACTGCTTGTTGACAATCAGCAATCACACTGGGCTCCTCCTTTTCCACTCACCTATCTGGGCTTTGTTTTGAGTTATTTTGGTATCTTAAAAGCCCTATGTTGACTCCAATTAAATGTGTATTGTGTACAGCTGAGTAGGAGTCAGTGTTCCGTCCTTGTTTGCTGTGCCTGATGCATCAGAGAGCACACACCCCACGTCACTGACAATTTTGCAATAGCGAGCCCTTGAGAGAGATTGTGTTTCATACAGGACGTTATTGAACGTATGGATGTGCTGCTGCTATTTAACAAGTACTGATGCATGCAAAAATACTGCGGAGCTGCTTGATAAACTCACTGATGCAGAGTTTTTGGTGTGGAGCATGTCCAAACCCAGACTGATACAGTCCTGCCTCTCTTCTCGCTGCCTTGCCAGCAGTGCCCAATACTTCAGACTGTTGAAAAGAGTATTGTAAGGAGTGCCTTGTGCTGTCTGTAGGCTGCTCATCTGAGATGTGGAAAATAGAGACTGCTGCCATGTATGGCAATGATGAGAATTATCTCACAGATTTATGTGAAGTTCTTTACAGTCAGATTATTGTTTCTTTCAGTTTCTCCTCCTCAGTTTTACGTTATTTTTGCCAGAATAACTGTGTTCTGGATCAGAGGCAGACCGAGGCTGCAGCAATGCTGGTAAGGCGGAGGAAAAAGTGAGAAAAATATGTGGATGAGGAGGAAGTCAGAAATATAGATCCAAAGGAGCAGAGACATAAGATGCAGTAGTGAATATGCGACAAGCTGGTCAGGTCGCTGTAAGTGTAATTGGAGGAGTTAAAAAAATTCTATTCCTGCAGCTTATGTTTGGTCCTCTTAATTTTCTACCCACCTTGGAAACCACTGTGAGTTACCTAAAAACACTGGCTTGTCTTTGTTACATAAAATATTGCCTGCTTGCTGCCAGAAACCTGAGACTGGAGTCTGCAAATACGGAATGCTCCTGAATGACTTCTCTGGAAGTGTTTTTGGTTGCTGTGGTGATTATCCATCTGTTTAAATACTTTATATGTGAGATTCTAAACTCGTTTGTTGTGGAGATTTTCTTGAGTTGTGAGAAAAACAGCATTAATGCCCGATTACCCCTGTGAATTTGGTTTTCTTTGACAGTTGCCTTCTCCATGGCACGGCATTGCAAATCCACTTCTCCTTTCAAATACCTCAGGAAATGAGGTATATCTGCATTATTTCCATTCACACCCACGTTGTGTTGTTTTTATCTTGTCTTTCTCTGGACAGTGTTTTCTAGTTAATACCAGCTTATAAAAGAAAACAACGCAAAAAACAGGCAACATCATAAAAGATATTTGTTTCATTTTAAAAGACTCTCAGAAGAAAAAAAAATACTGCATTCAAACTACCACCTTTTAAAGCAGCCTAAATGTTCTCACTTACAATAAAAGTAAGAATTGTTCAACCTGTACTGTCCAAACAGTTCTTGTACCTTTAAATCACCCATTAAAAGTTTGGCTTTTTTTTCCACTTGCTTCTGAGGCAACTTTGAAATTTCCACCCCTCAGTGGCAGCATGCTGCATTCCCATTCTATGTCACTTGGGACTTAAATGTACTAGCATGTATTCTTTGTGTCAGGGGTTACAGTGTTTGTTTTTATGACTAATAATGTGGACCTTGGGAGCCACCTATCAAAGCGCCGTTGAGGAAATATCTAAACTTCTGTTAAAGTGTAATCCCTTTCAAGGCATGTCCATACAGGAGAGCAAAGACATCTGAAAGCTCTCAACTGCCCATGCTCCAAGCTGCCTTGGAAGCAAGCCTGTTCGAGCATAGAAGTCCTTTACCTTCTGTGCCTCTACTAATGGCCCCTGTGACATTCTCCTGGTGAGTACAGCATGCAGAAAGCTGTATTTCCTTCAGAGTAGATACAGTGATTTGGGAAAACTACTGCCTAAAGTGTAGCTCACTTTAAAATAATAAAGTTAAACAAGGACAGGCTTCATGCATGCTCATTCTTGAGAATGAAGCCAGTGTAAGATCTAAACATTCATTTAACTCTCGCTCAGGTCACACGTTGAGTGAATTTTGCCCAAATATACTTCACACAGGTATCAAGATTTGCTTCTTGGTACTTGGTGTCTGAACTTATGCTTATTGATGTTGGAGTTCTTGACATATCCTTTGTTCTGCGAAGCTATATGAAAGAAGCCATAATTGGTTCTTAGACACCATGATATTTATAATCATTTAGGAACCTCAGAGAGAGCAATCACTGAGGGTTTTATAGATAGCCATCATCTTTATGAAGTGTAGGATCTATTTCTGTATTGTCTGTTGGACCCTGCTGAGAACCTCCGTTGTCCTGCTCAACAAAAAGCTGCAAACTCAGCGTGGGCTCTGCTTCTTTCAAGGATGTGTGCAAACATCTCTTAGAAATCAGCAGTTACGGTTGTTTCATTAGACCTCTAATAACATCTCTACTTCATTTTCCTTCCAAATATGTTTACTTCAGGGTTGACACTTATAATGTCATCTCAAAAGAAAGAGGCTCTCCTGACAGATTTACAGTTATTATAAAATATGATGCTATCTGCATACAAATGGACAGTAGGAGCTTTAAAGAGATTTTCCCTATTATTGCTGCCCAAGGAAGCAATAAAAACTTAACATTTACCATTGGGAAACACCTGCAGAGATTAAATTAAAACTAGATTATATGCTTATCAGTTAAATGTTACAAAAGCAAACTCTTTAGAGATTAACATAAAAAGCATTGCTATACAAATCTTATTAACGGCTTCGCTCTCAGTACAATCCATTCTACACCTCCGCTGCTCAGTTGTTCCACGTGTGCAACTTATTAAGTCTTTGTGCAGCTGTACAGTGTGGAGGCAGGGCAGCCTTACTGAGGGCTCTGCTGGCAAATGCCTATGTTGATATTTAGATTTGTCTTTAAAAGTTGACCTCAAGTACCATTTGTCCTTCTCTTTCTGATCCTAGCTACTTTCTGAAGGACTCTTTGCATTACACGCTGTGTTTCTTGAGCATGGAACTGAGATGTGTTCTGGGCTCCTGCATGGAGTTCTGCTGGGAATATACCTGGGAACCATGCACCTTTGCTATTGAACTCTTTCTTTATTAAGGTCAGCAGGACAGAGAATTTTTAAAAGGCTGGGAGCAGAGAACAAGACACTGTTGTTGCTGATAGCAGATATCTGTGCTTAGTTCATGCAACCTTTGGTAGGTGGTGAACATGTTACAGAAATTGGAGTCGAGGAGGCATATGGGCTGATCTGGAAATTCAGAGAGCTCCAAGGTTTTAAAAAGCAACAGGCCTTTGGAGAATTCTGAACCACATATGGGAATACACAACTCAGCAACAGCCACATCTTCAATTACTTACACTAAGGCTCAGGCCATAAAGAGCTTTGATTGTGGAGATCCAACTCGGTTTGATGGATCAGCAGAGCATGACATTGACAGGACATTCAGATTGTTTGTGACGTGACTGTAAAATAAATCTTGTCATTTCCCAGGGACAAATGCAAAGGGCCATGGCTCTGTAAACATTTCTCCTCTGGACAAATCTGACCTAAGGAACCCCATGGCCATTTTTTCCAACCACTTGCCATATCCTCTGTTCTGTCAGCGTAGACCTTCGCATTTAGTTAGGTGAGTCGGGAGCATGGAAGGAATCCAATTTAAAGCCTATCAATTTAGGCTTATGAAAATATGGAAAATAGAGCATTGATCTATAGGAGTGGGGGATGCTGAGGTTGAAGGGCATAGCCAAAGACTGAGGTGCAGAAATAGCTGGAACTTGCTTTGCAAGGGAGAAAAATGACTATGCAAGCATGGCCTAACATTTTAAGTAATAAGTGTTTGTTGGCCCAGACGATATTCACTGAAAGAGGTTAGGGAGTGTTCGAACAAGTATATCCAGATCAGAGGGGTGGTAACCTATTGCAAAGCAATGCTCACAAGCCCCTGGGCAGACTGAGGGAGGACTCTTTGTCAACACAGCTGGGTTTGGGAGGAGATATGTGTCCACAGACACAGCTCCCTGCACTGTCACAGTGTGCACCCGTCTTCCCTTAGACCTCCCTCCAAAATGTAAGATAATGTGTCTTCCAGCAGTGCTGTAGCGTGCAGTTTGCCCTCCCACGTACCTGAAGGGATGAACTGTACCTTAGCATTTTTATAACAGACTTTCCTTTGAGGGTAGGTGTTTGATGATCAGCAGAAGCCATAGGCACATCCGAATTCTGGGTGTGAGTTTGTTCTGTCATTTTATTTGGACGAATTACAGTGTTTAACTTGGAATGGCCTGCTCGTGTCTTTTGCTTGACTTTCAGGCTCTGAGCTGTGTGAATTACTGACATGGGAATTTAAGATGTCATTTTTCAAAAATGACATATGTTTTTGTATGTACCTGTATCCAAGATGGGGAAACTACTTAACTGCAGTCTGAATTTTCCAGTCACTATATTAAGTAATTCACTCCTACTGCCACTAGAGGTATAACATTCTCTTGTGCAAATACCGAAGGAAACATTTGGTTGGAAGCCTTGCCTGTATTAATATTTCATTTTTCAAATCATGCTTTTAATCTGTTTTTTTTTTTTGGGGGGGGGGCGGGGAGGGTTGGGTTTTTTTTGTGGGTTTTTTTTTTTTTTGAGGCCTCATCCTACTCAGCCTTTTCCTGTTGGGAACTCTGTCTCTTATTGAACTAAAGCTAACTGCTTGTGAGATGAAATGCCACTTTGTCATGAAAGGATGCAGAACTGAGTGCTCGTTTAAGCTGCATGAGAAGCTGAACTGTAGTGTCAGTCTCCACACCGGTCACCTGTGACTGGCTCACACGCAAGCTTGTACCAGCACGTTTACAAAGCTTGTTTCATGATGCCTGTTGTTCTCCTGGATATTTATGTTCATTCTGAAATGCAAACATAAGAGAATACGATTTGAAATTAATTTCTTTATTATGACCAGCTTTCACTCAGATAGAATCTCCCTTCTGAAGCTCATTAAACATCACAAAAGTCCCATGTCTCTACCAGGGCTGGCAGGAGAAGTGTGGCCTATGCCGAGGTTTAATCACAGCTCTGTGTGCTCTGTGTACGTGCTGCTTGAGTGCAAGGCAGGGGATGGTTCTGAACCGAGCTGTGGGGATTCTGTGAGAAAGCAGAGGTTGACTAAATGAGGACTAACTGCAGCCCTGCTGGAGCACAGCCTCTGACTGTTTGAAGCTGCAGACTTTCTTTCAGAGCTTCTGACACTCAGCAGCAGGCTGCCAGCGCCGTGCTGCATGCACACAGGCTGGGAGCGCTGAGCTGATGGGAGAACTGCCCTCTGTGCCCCTGCACTGCTCAGGCCCAGCAGCACTCCTGCTGCAACCTGGCATTTCCACATGCTGCTTTTCACCTCTTCCCCACTTTTGCCTGATAAACACACTGATGGCAGCTAAGAGAGACGAGAGCACGGCAGCTTGAGAGCGAGTGTGGTGGAAGCTGTGCCTGAGCTCTAGCCTGAACTGCAGCTCTCTTCCATCACAGCAGGCCCACACGCAGTCTTTCTGCCATGTTCTCCTTTCAGGATTTGCCCACCTAACTCCTGGCTCAGCCACGAGAAACAGAAAAACAGGAAATCTGAGAAACAGCGGGAAATCTGAGATCTGTGAAGTTTAGGAGGCTATTTGGAGTGCAACTGAAACTTCAGAAAAAGACGTGTGTTATGGATCTACTGAAATGTAGAATCTGTTGTAATGTGGTCTATGCGGTACTTATCAGCACTGTGCTGCACGGCTCAATACTGAAAAGTTATTCTGAAGGGAAAAATATTGAAATGACACCAGATGCTCTCAGAAATGTTGCTTTTCCCCTGAAGTGAATATCTGACAAAGTTATTGATTTCTTGAAAGATTCAGTTACCATAAGAGAGGGCCTTTGATGGCAGAGGTGTTTCCAGCACAAACTGACACACAGATCCTCTCAAAATTTCTGGTCTAGTACAGCCTTTGGGTTGCTTCTTTTCCAAATGCAATGCTAACAGCACAGTTAAAACAGCACAGTGCAGACAATGCAGATACAGCACTTGGTGTATCTTCTATTTTAGTTTCTTTGTGCTTTTTGTAGTAAATACTGATAAATTCGCCACGACCTTACAACACTCACAAGAAATTTTTGACTACAAAAAACACTTTGCAGGTGAGACACTTTGGATTGAACTGGGATAAAAGTTGATGAAATCATGCCACCAACATTATGGCAATGTGTGATATAAACTGGATCCCCCAAATGTATTGAATGCAACAGCACTGCTATCTGACCTTGCTATTAGCAAGAATATGCCATTTATCTACAGCTCCCCCTTGTACAGCTTTGTGGCATACACAATCATAGGCAGCAGATTTGCTGTGCAGTTCACTGGAGTGGTTCTATCTAACATGTTGCTAACATCTCGTCTCCCAAAAATCGGAGAATGGGTGGCAATCTGCTAAATTTTATCCACAATTTTGGTAATTCTTCCAAATGATACAGTTCAGTGTCATCTTGACCTTCATGTTTTTCACAGGGAACAGTTACATAAAAAGGATGAATGAACAACAACAAAAGAGGAAGGCTGGGATCGTATAATCTGGAAACTGGAACCACCTGCATTTATGATTTCCTGTTTAGGTGAGGGAGGCAGACTGAATAGTTGTTAAAGCTCATTATTGTAAGTAACAGAATAGAGATTCTGCTGTAATTTCTGTCATACATTTGCTCCATGGCCCTGGACGAGCATTTAAAACCAGGCTGCGAACGTCACCTCCTTTACATTAGAAATGTACTAGGTGTAAAAATTCTGAAAAAAAATCAAACTTGTGACCAAAAGTCAAAATT